AAATCACAACAGCTTTTATACCCATTGAAATACTGCAACTGTACTTGGAACAGCCTCAGACATCTGGCACACCAAGCAGGATTTTTCCCTCCCTCTTTTTACCTGAAAAGCAGCAGCCTGAAGTGAACTGGTATTGCCTGAACAGCTAAAAAGAACTGGGGTTTATTTTTTTTTTTTTCTGAAAGATAACAAAAAAATAAAATGTTAGATGGGCCTCCAGAAATTCATTGTCCTTTACCATGGACATGAAGGACTCCTGTACAGAAGGTTTCCACCTCTATTCCCTGTTCCTACACTAGCACTGGGGGGACTTTTATTTCTCTGTCCCCTCAGATTAATGAGTGAAGTAGCAATTTTTAAAATCTATGTACTGAAACCAAGAAGTTGATACCTGACCATGTAAAGCTAATTTCTTTCAATTAAAAAAAAAATAGATAACAATTAAAACTTCAGCCTTAACCTCTGCCAAAGAGGTCTGACCAAGCTCCATCTGTCAAGCTTTCCTTTTCTCAGCAAGCAGCTCTTACTCCCAGTGCTTCATCTGCACAGGGAAAAATGCCTCATCCAGACCCATATAACATGGCTTATATCCAACAGCACAAGGTCTCCACTGTGCTCTTTAGAACACACTCCAACAGCAGAAGGCACAGCACGGTGCCCTGTGCCAGAGCATGGCTGTCTGTCCTTCCTGTCCCTCGGAGGAAGCCCTCGGCTGCTGCCCCACCCTCTCCCAGAGGTGCAGACCCACAGCACCTGCCAGGACAGGCCCTCCCAGGGCACTCTGCACTGGCACTGCTGACACAAAGGACTTGCTGCCACGTTTCCTCTGGAGTTTCTTGTGTTGCTGCCTTAACAGCGTGAGCTGGAAGCTTTGCCAAAGGATTACACTGCACAAACATGATTCTAAACCAGACAACCCCACTCCCACAGCCTGGAAAAATTCCCCATCCGAACCGCAAGAGTTCTCAGACCAACCCTGCCAACTGGGCTGCTCTGCATGGACTTCTCCCCTTCCCAAATCCCTCTTCTCTCTGAGCCCCCTGGTCCAGGAGAAGAACCACAGCTGGTCCTTGGAGGGGGGGAAGGGAGCCGTGAGCACGGCCATAGCCTTGTTCTCTACAACTCCACAGATTCCATGGCAGTCTGCAATCCCAGCATTTTGTATTTGAGAGATGGGAATACTGCATCCCACATTTCTGCCCCAATGAACACTTCCTGCTGCCACAGGGGATGTGCCTGGGAGTCCCAATGAGCTCCTGCTGCTGCACACTCCCACTACTGAGAGTCACTGCCTGGGCTTATCCCAGTTAAGGGCCCTGAGGGAGATGGGGGCAGGACATTTCTGCTGACAGCAGAAATTCCTACAGGAAACAGTGTCAGGCACAAAGATCCAGGGGGTGACTGGAAAAAAACTAAAAAAAAAA